CCTGCCACACTTCCTTTTAGTCGGAATTGCAGTTATTTCAATTATCAGTAAAATGTACATTAAACTGTAAACTGATAGCAGCTAAGTTACTGAAAGAAGCAACTAAATCAACTCCAATCTCAATTTATTGTTTACGAATAAAATACCAAAGTTGAACTAACAACAGACCTAAAACATATTCCCTACTTAAAATACAGTATATATTCTTTAATGACATCGGAAGACTTTTTGGAAGTAGAAAAAAAAAATCTACACGTCAAGTGTCAAAACAAAACTCCTGAGAATCTCAGCATAAAACTACAACCCCTTTTAGATCAGAAACATGAGTAGCATTAAGCAACAAAAAAACCTGTCTACTGAAACCACTTTTAGACATAAAATGGTTTGTGGAAATGTAGGCTTTGGCTACATTTCCGGAGGAGAGGAAGCAGAGAATGCAACCAAATTAAGAGCAGTTTATGGACAATTTCAACTACTTGGACAAATTAAAATTGTACAGTGTTGAAAGAGAAAAGGGAGACCTCCTTTTGTCTTCTGACACATTAAAAAAAACCAACCAAAACCAATGATTTTCATTACTACAGGGAAAGGAAACTAAGAAATGTAATACAGCTTCTGTTTATCCAGTTTTACACTTCGTCTGTTTCTGGGGGAGGGGGGAAAAACACACAAACTTGTATTTCATTTTTTTTATATAATGCTTTTTAGTCCAACAAAACCAAACAAGCTTCACTGCTCAACAGTGGCTCTTAGCGTTCTCTTACGTATGTCCCAGCTCGAAAAAGTTAAACACACACTAGAGTTTCTCTGCAGAAGCTACCAGACAAAAACATTTAAATCATATTTCACATTTAAGGTGTAATGCAACCAATCATATTTACAACATTAACGCTATCAGCAAGTATAAAAAATATGAAATGTCTTACCCGTGAATAGGAATACTGAGAAGCCTTTCCATGTTAGAAAGAATTATTTTTATAGTCTCTGGATCACGATTTGATCCCAATTCTGTTACTAGAAGGGATTTGGTAATGTCTAGAAAAGAAAGAAAACCTCACTTTTAGAACAGCACAACTTACATAGTAACAGTAATTAGCAGAGTTTACTTCACTACTTTCTTACAAGACTGAATAATGGGTACATTAATATAAATATTGCACATATTGAATGTATAAAAATCTCTTTTTGCATGGAAAATAGCAGGGAAAAAATACAACAAACAAAGCATGATATGGTTCAACTGTGCATATACATTAATGAGTGCCATTAGTAAATAAAATTCTATTGCTACAAAATTAAGAACAGTCCTCAGATCTTTAAAGGTTTCACTTTAAGTGTGGATTTTACTTTAGAAAAGGTAGCAAGTCTACAAGCGTGATACTGATTTAAATCACTAGTTCACACCAGGAAGTAGTTAATTGTTTGGTAGATTTGTTGCAGACTCTAAAGAACAATCACACAAGGATTACAGACATACAAGTAATTAAAACCAAAAAACCACAACACACAGGGAATAAAATCTTCAATTGCTGAGTTCTGATTCCGCAAAGATCAGAAGCATACTATATGCATCAAAGAAACATATGCTATGTTTCTCAAAGCCAAACAGTCCATGGCCAAAACCAGCCTCTTTGCAAAACAAAGCTAAGCTATGCCCTGAGCCAAGAAACAGGAACATATCCAGGTCTAAAACTGTTGATGCCTCATTTGTTGATGTTCATTTTGTTGATCTGAAAATAAATGTAATTACAAGAAATAAGCTACTCAGTCCAGATTACCTTTTTGGCCTGATACTTGAAGTTTCTGACCATTGCAAAATGCACCTTTTCCTTTTCTGGCAGTATACATCTTGTCTTCTACACAACTATACACAATTCCAAACTCTATCTGCAAGAAAAAGTAAGAGTACCTTGGCATTTTTTTCCCTTTCTTCCTATTTACTGTGAAAATATATATCTTAGTTATAGTTAGCAACAAGAAATTAATTTGGTTTTGATTTACTAGATATGAAGTAATAAAAAGTATACCTTTTTGTTTACAACAAAGCCAATTGAAACTGCCACAAATGGAAACCTACAAAACAAAACATTTCACTAATTTACAGTGAGATACTATGCTTCTTTCATTACCATGCTTACTTTTAATAAAAATAATGTTCAGTTAAAAGTAATGTATATTTAAAAAAAAAACAACAAAAAAACCAACCACCAAACTTGGACTATATAGGAAATATAGCGCAGTTTGCTATGAAAATAGACCAAACACCACCAATTACCATTTAAAATACACGCTATTCCACCTACTGAAACTAAGCCTGTTACAGCTTAGGGACTGTCATCCCTGTTACAACTCTTACTAGCTCAGGGACTGACATTTTATAGCCAAAGAATACAAGCAAGCCTCTGTGCTACTAACCATAAGGAACAAGCTGGCCAAAACGGTCTTGCCAAAAAATGCAGATCACCTTTTCCTCCACCTCCACATTCTCCACCAAAGCAATGAGAAAGACAGATATTGAAGCGAGAAGAAAGGGTGCAGGGGAAGAGTAAAGGCAGTGGGACTATATGGGACAAGGTGCACTGCATCTTAGCCTAAGTTTTTAACAATGAACCATTTATTATTTTTACTCTTCAAAATTTGCAGTTCCAAAACATTTGCTCTAATAACTAACTGCAAAAAAATACAGACTTCTAAGTCTGTAAATGCAGCAGAATAGGTTATTTTCTTATAGCTTTTGAATACATTATTTAGCAGGATTCTGCAGCTGTTTAAAGCTGTGGTGTACACAGTGGCAGTCATTTCAAAATTGGAGTCAAGTACACTCAGAAAAAACTCATCAGGGCCAAAATATATCATGGTTTAGACAGAACGAATAGGGAGTCAGCATTACACAGAAAGCCCCTTCCTCATCCTGGTGCAAAATACCACAATTACTGGTAATATTTTGCTTTCTTTCATGGTAGCAGCTCCTAGATCTCAATGAATTTGAAATTTAGCAATCAGCAATAGAAGCTCCTCTGAAGATGCTGCAACTCCTAATTATGAGTCTTGCTGCTTTACTGTTAAAAACTGCCCACCTGTGTTTGGCACCTGTGCTAAAGGCTGCTGACCCCTGCTATGTAGTACAGGCCTCTCATGAAACAACTGCTGTTGGTTCCAGAGGAAGACTATTACAGTTCTTACAGAAATACTAAAATGATTACAAAAAAATGTCCCATAGCTCTTAATAAATCAAAATAACAACTTGTAACTATTAACAAGTTATAATATCTCTTTTAAAGCAATTTAAAAGTGAGAAAAACCTTACTTTCATAGAACTGGAGAAAGAAAAAAAGGCTGAAGTTGCTAACAAAGAAATGAAAGGTGGACCTGTGTACGAAGTTGGTAGTTCCATCAATAGGGTCTATAATCCATGTGGGGTTATCTGTCAAAATGCTGCCCTCTCCAGCTGCAACAGATTCTTCTCCAATGAAGCTAGAGCAGCAAACACATTTAAAAGATACAAAGAAATTAAAATGTCTGAATTGCAACACTGCCCTTGAAAGTAAAGTTCTTAAAGTGAGATGCAGGTTTTTGTATCACCAGCGATCAAATGTAAAAAGCTGAGAAACACGCAATTTTATCTGGAAAGCACCAACCGCATCTGACCAAGCTTGCATCAATATTTATGATGTCAGAGATAAGCACAGTATGCAGGGAAGAGAACTTTACATTTTAATATCCATTACTGAAATTCAGCAGAACATTAAAGTTTTCATCATTTTTTTCCAGTAACAGCATCATCAAATTTTGGTCAGAGTATCTGCAGCTACTTACACCTTTCAGTTTATTTGTGCTATAAAACACTACTCTTTAGCTTGTGTTTTAACTGAAGAATGCCTTTGTGGTCATACACATCTAGTTAGACCACTGCAGTAACAGTTAAATTTGCAGTCTGATTTCAGTCCAAGTATGACAGAAAGTTGTTAAGTCTCAAAACTGTTTAGTTTTACAAGGATTACAAAACGATAAAGTGGTAAAGGGATGAAATCCAAACCAGAGCTCCTCCTGAAGACAGCAGAGTACATGCTCAACCCAAAGGCCACACAAGGCACAGTGCTGCAGGAACCCAGATTTCACAGTTTTAGCTGCACATGAAAGCGTTTATTTTCAACTGCAAAATTACTGGGATGAGTCTAAGTGGGTGGAATTCTTTTCTGTGCCTTTTGCATGTTTTTAAATTTATCACGTATTACTCAACCTATGAAAAGTATGCAAACACATGGTTTCCTCCATAAACATGTAAAATCAGAACTGCTGATAGTAAACAAATAAGGTCCATGTAATATTGATTAGGGGTTTTATGATTAGCTGTGGAAGTGAAGATGATTGCTCAGAAAGAAACAGCATGTGACAGACCTTCACAAAGATAAGGGAGACTGAATAGTTATTTAGGTGGATAAGTCATGAGAAGTTCAACACCAGTATGTCTAACGTGGTATCAATTATGTAACATAAAAAGAAACTAAGATATCCTAAAATTTTTATCATTTATCAGTATCACAGGAACTGTTATGTCAAGGCCATTCCACAAGTCTGTATGCTTACACTAATTTAACTGGGTTACTGAAATTTTGCATCACCTCAGTTTCAAATCTATGTATATTTACTACATTTCACATATACAGCTACAGTAATAAAGTCTTGAAGAAAATGTAAGAAAAATTAGCAAACCCACTTTAGGGAAACTGTATTAAACTTCAGTCATTATGTCAAAATGAGAGAGAAAGTCCCATATATGGCAGTCCTGAGGTAACAGCTGCACTTGATCTTTTCCAACCTAGTTGATTCTATGATTCTATGTAAGTAAAAGTAAGTGAAATACACACAATTAACCCTTCAAGAAGGGGAAGGAATTAAAAAAAATACCAGTATTTTGCATGACAGACTTAAAGAATCAGAAGATCCTGTCTTCTTTTAAGAACATTTGATGTTCTTAAACTGTATGAGATTTCCCAAAGGCACACACGGTACCATGGGACCCATCCTGCACAGACAGCAAAGGCATGTTAACTTCAACAGCCAAGAGGAATCAAGAAATTCGGGTTTCAGGTATCTTGGGGCCACCGTTGATTCTCCAACATGAATGTATTTACAGCTAGCTCAAGTGTAAGTGACTGTCAGCATGTACCTTGAGCAAGGCTAACCTCCTGTCAGTAGACCCTGGGGACACCTTGTTTTTATACTACTGCCCTGGGCAAAACATCAGCCCACACCTACTCTAAAATACTTAAAATAATGAGGGTAAGAGAGACTTCTGAAACTTTCCAGCACACCAATCATAATGAAATTTAACAAGCAAAATCATAAACTTTCAATTTTCTTCTTCCAGACACCTCTCCCCTTCTCCTATCAAAACTGCATTGATAAGAAGCTGTACCTGTGAGAAGGATACTTTTCTTTTATCAAAGAAATAATGAAGTTTTCTACTTTTTGATCAGTTTCTGTCACGAGATCTACTGGTGAACTTTTAGTCATAACAGATATTTCTTCTTTGAGTGCTCCACGGATTATCTGTTAAAAAAAACAAGAAAAAAAAGAATTTATGGAAATACTAATTTTCCTAAAAATCTGAGCATCATTTTTACTGTAATTTTCTATACTGCACATGCAAAACAAACACAAGCAGTGTCAAAACCTGGATTTAATTGCAGGAGCAGGGGCTTACCCTTCCATCTATCTCCAGTCCCTACTAAGCACAAACTTTTATGTGACCTTAAATTTGAATACTACATAAAGATCTACTGGTACATAAAACCAAATTCCATTTTGTTAGGACAAGTTTTAGATTTATAAACTTAAGTACTAGGGTTGAATCAAACACTTAAGCCTAAGCTTAAGTCAGCTATTTTTAGCCAGACTCTCCATTTATGATCTTACTACTATCAGAATCAGCTTAAGCAAGAATCCACGCCTCACAGCCCACAGAAGTATTTTATTATAACACAGAAAGATTTTTCTGAGGGAAGACTTTAATGAGGTCATTGCAGGAACAATGTTCTGCAGATTCTGCAGCTCCAGGGGACAGAATCAGTACATGTGCCATCTTGTCTGGCTGCAACAGCATTCACATGTAGGAAGCAGAACTACCAAGAACCGAACATTTGGTAACTACTCTTACGCTGAAGCTCTGCCAAGATGTGCAAACTCTTTCTTGTTCTAAGCCCTCTTAGATCACAAGGGGGTCAAGTATCACACAGCAAGGGATGCTTCTTATTTATAGAAGAAAAGCAATCTTCACATAGAGAACATGATATGGTATCTGGTGCCAATAACAAGCCACTGTATAAAACTGATTAGGGTGTTCACAACAAAGTCTGTCAACAGCTTTCAGGTGGTAAAGTAGACAGATGCAGAGTAAGGGGAAAATCAGAGATCCTCTTTGTTTACCACAATTCAGAATTTTTTTTTAAAACAAATTTAAGGAATAAAAAGATACTGCTTAGTCTTTAAGCAGACTCCACTCCAAAGAAAAGTGCAAAGTTGTTTTCTTAAATTAACCAAGCTGTAAACATGAAATACACTCCAATCTTGAGCATCACTGAACAATTCTGCTAGTTTATGTTTTTTTGACAAAATACTGCTGAGAAGAATACCTAACATTAAACTCCTTCAAAATATATACTTTAGGCTCTATAAAAAATTTTATTTGTAAATAGTTTATACTTACCTCCCCAGCTTTCCTTGCTAAGCCAACCGCATAATCCATACATTCTTGCCAAGGATCTGCCATCTTCTTTAGATATATAACCTACCAAAAGGAAAGATTAACACAAAAATTACAGCTGATTCTGATTTTTTTTTTTTTAAACAAATCCTCATTTTCTACTCCTGCTGTTCTGGACTGCACTGTTTTCTCCTTGCTGAAATACGGAATTTTGTTCTAGCTTTACTCTGAAAAAAAAACAAACAAACAACCCAAACCTAGATAGTATTAAAAGCTTAGTATAACTTAACAGAACTTTTTTTTCCCCTCCACATTTTGTGGTTAACAAAAAAGGTGAAACAAAAACGCTAACAAGTACAGAGCCTCAGTCTTGAAAGATACATGAATATACAAGATTCCACATTTAGACACTGACCTCAATGTACATGAAAGCTCTTAAAAGCAATAGTGTGGGTACACGCAAGCATATTCTCAAACACAGTGTACAGTTCAAGGTCTTTTTGATTAAAAATATTATAATCTTCACTGTAATTCATTGCAGAGACTGGTCACATATAGCTTTATATATTTTTAAGTATGGTTTAAATGACTTTGAATATCTTAAATTAAAAAGTGATAATCTCAAACCCAAAATCCAGCCTTTCTGTATTTTAGTCCTCCAGGCTTTGTTCTAGGGGTTTATTCCAAACACAAATATGAAATGGGTTTGATTCTACATGAGAAAGTTACAAGATCCCACAGTCATTTAGAAGTATCTTCTATAATCTTAAGTATTAATAGACCATAAATTCATTCAATGTCACAATTCAATTCAGCGGCAAAATCAATGTCTTCTGAACTGCGGAAGTAATTTTTGAGTCATTTTTGGAAGTTTCATTTTTGAGCCCTAGCCCTTTCAAAAACCTTTTGGTTATTACCTAAGTCATTCAGTCTTTAAGTGATGACCTGGATAACTGTTTTGTAACACTTGCAGATTCACAAAGATTATACAAATGATCATAAAAACCCCCTGCACTGAAACCATATAAAAAACACTGTGTAACTAACATCATCCATGAGTCCCCAGCCCTGATCTAATAATGGGCATTGTCTCTTTCAGCCTTGGTCCTAAACAGGTAGAGGTGGCTACAAAAGCCAGGTAACATGCAAAGGGTATGACGCTTCAGTTCTGTTGATAATGTTCTTGCCATAGCCTTTAAAGCATAGGTTGTTACATAAACACAGACATAACTTGTCAGAACACGGAACTGGGTATAACAGCTCTATATAAAGTTACCAAGTTATCCATAAAAGACTGGTAGTACTAGTGGAACCTTAAGTACACCGACACCCAGTACAACGACACAGACTCATACAGCACCGGAAAAACAAGTAATTTACACCTGAAACCTCACCAAATCAGCAACTGCAGAACGCGTATAAATACCAGTGCTGAACTGACTAGCAGAAGAGCCTTTTCGGCCCCCCAGGCTTAGTTTTGTCTTCTCTGGATGCCCCGTGACGAGTTCGTCCCACAAATTCAGGGCGCGCATTCAGCGCAGAGGTTTGGATCCCGACATACAGGTTTGGACCCTGGCCCGGAAGGGTTGAATATCGGCCCGCATCGCCCGCCCGAGGTGAGAGTACCTCCCGCCCCGTGGCCGTGTAGCCCCGGCCCGAGCGACGGCAGGGCCACACGGCTCCCGGGGCAGCAGCGCAGCCCCCTCACGGCACCCCGAAATGGCGGCTGAGGGAGGAAAGAAG